TTTTTTTCACACTGGCCGATTCCCACCAAGGCAGGGTGGCCCGAAAAAGAAAAACTTTCACCATCATTCACTCCATCACTGTCTTGCCAGAAGGGTGCTTTACACTACAGTTTTTAAACTGCAACATTAACACCCCTCCTTCAGAGTGCAGGCACTGTACTTCCCATCTCCCAGTCCGGCCTGCCGGTTTCCCTGAACCCCTTCATAAATGTTACTTTGCTCACACTCCAACAGCACGTCAAGTATTAAAAACCATTCGTCTCCATTCACTCCTATCAAACACGCTCACGCACGCCTGCTGGAAGTCCAAGCCCCTCGCACAAAACCTCCTTTACCCCCTCCCTCCAACCTTTCCTAGGCCGACCCCTACCCCGCCTTCCTTCTACTACAGACTGATACACTCTTGAAGTCATTCTGTTTCGCTCCATTCTCTCTACATGTCCGAACCACCTCAACAACCCTTCCTCAGCCCTCTGGACAACAGTTTTGGTAATCCCGCACCTCCTCCTAACTTCCAAACTACGAATTCTTTGCATTATATTCACACCACACATTGCCCTCAGACATGACATCTCCACTGCCTCCAGCCTTCTCCTCGCTGCAACATTCATCACCCATGCTTCACACCCATATAAGAGTGTTGGTAAAACTATACTCTCATACATTCCCCTCTTTGCCTCCAAGGACAAAGTTCTTTGTCTCCACAGACTCCTAAGTGCACCACTCACCCTTTTCCCCTCATCAATTCTATGATTCACCTCATCCTTCATAGACCCATCCGCTGACGCGTCCACTCCCAAATATCTGAATACATTCACCTCCTCCATACTCTCTCCCTCCAATCTGATATATAATAATAATGTACTACATATAATAATAATAATAAATGGCTTCAAAAGGCCGTCACTAGATGGCAGTGTTTACCACAACAAAGAGGGAGCAGTTGTGGCTGCCTCCACCTGTTACATAATGACACATTTTATTCATTCTAGAGTATATATCGTGTTTCTGTGTTATTTATAGTATTTTCTGTTATGTCATATTAGATGAACTGTGATATATAAATAAGCCATATAGATGATATTAGCGAAATTATTCATGAAGAATTTTGCCCAGTCTCCAGACAAACTCTCGTCCACTGCCGACACCGCCCATACCACTACATGAATGACATATTTTATTAATTTTAGAGTATATATCAGGTTTCTATGTTATTTATATTGTTTATTATGTCATATTAGATGAAGTGAGATAGATAAATAAGCCGTAGAGTTGATATTAGCGAAATTACTGAAGTACAGAATTCCACTGGAACGGTTTAATTGAATTTCAATTAATTTAAATGAGGAAAATTGACTGCAAACAAGCAAATCCAGTTGTGAGCAAGGTCATGGAACGAATTAAACTCGCAAGTAGAGGTTCCACTGTATTCTAAAATGCTTTTTGTGAAAACAATGATTCAATTATATACCTGTCAATAATAGATAAAAGGTTCAAAGTGATTGTTGAAGTTATGATGTGGGAGTACATAAGTATGTGTGTACCGAGTATTTAGCATTTAGTCTGGGGTGATTAAGTGGCTTTTGAGAAGAGTCTTAAATTGATTTTCAGACTGGGTTACTTTCATATTTTCTGGTAATGAATTCCATATTTTGGGGCCCTTCATGTGCATAGAGTTTTTACAGTGTGATATGGACACGAGGTATATCAAAAAGAGATCTGTGTCTTGTGTTGTGGTCATGATCTTATCCCAGAGTGGCGGGCTCTGCCCATACCCCACTCACATATGGCATATATTGTTCATTTTAGCATCTTTATTACAGTTCTAGGGTATTTATCGTGTTTCTGATATCAATTTGGAATAAATGTAATAGATAACCTTTATTACTAATATTAGCGTAATTACACAACATTTTATTAGTGCCACGGCTAACATCCGACACCCATGATGACTCGCCAGATACTGAATGCTACTGCTCACCTCTCTGTCTGTCATTTAGCTCCTCCCACTTCGTAATGATGTTAGATGGCGAATTTAATGTATTAATCAGAAACATTAAAAAAAAATTATGTTTCCTATGGCCTGTGAGGCTATAGGAAACATTGCATAATGCATGTACATAATTCATTGTTTTTTGCACTTGTTTATTCTGTGTGGCTTCTAAATAAGCCATCATGAGCCCAAAGAAAGCTGCTAGTGCCAGTCCACTGATAAAGTTGAGAAACACAATAGAATTCAAGAAAAAACTCGCAGCAAAGTGCCAAAATGAAGGAGGAAGAGAGAGGGGAGAATGTGCCTTCTTCAGTTATTCTACGATATGTATGATACTAAAGCATCAGGAGTCGATAAAGGCTATAGCGCCAGCCAGCGATAAAGTGTAGCATTAACAGTGTAGCAAGTAAGTTAAGTGATTAAGTGATAGAAAAAGGATGACATGAAACTGACTCCTCTAATGTTACTGGAGGTATACAGGGTCACTGACAAACATATGCCGCCCTGCCTATATTCCACCACCCTAAACCAATGCCAGCATCTCGAAGGTACAGTAAGTGTAAATATTTCTTATTTATAGTGTAAATATTTCCTATTTATAAATTACGTACATTGTTTTTGTGAATAGTGTTGGTGGCTTCTACTGCCGCCTCCACTACCACTAATATGTATGGCTTCTCTCAGTGGCCCTTATAAACCCAACAACACCATCACCACTTACTCCTCACATACATAATGACATATTTTATTCATTCTAGAGTATATACATGTATCATGTTTCTATGTTATTAATATTGTTTATTATGTCATATTAGAAGAATTATGAGAGATAAATAAGTCACAGAATATAGTTCTTCTCTATAAAATGTATTTTTTGTTTATACTTTTGGATGTCTGAAACTGATTAATTGGATTTACATTATTTCTCATGGGGAAAATGGTTTCAGTTTTAGTCAATTTCACATTTCATCAGACTCTCTGGAACAAATTAAGACGAAAAGGAAGGGTCCACTGTATATTTTTTACACACCTTGTTTACATAAACCCACGCTGCCTTCCCCACACCCACACTGGAAGTAAGTCACTGACTTTTTAGGGTTATCCTAGGTTCTCTACAGATGCTGCTATGTATGATAATCTTTGTAACTGTATTCGTGGATACCTGAATAAACTTACTTACACGCCATCTTCCCAACTACCCATGCTGTCTTCCCCACCATCCATGCTGCCTTCCCCACTACCCATGCTGCCTTCCCCACCACCCACTCTGCTTTCCCCACCACCCATGCTGTCTTCCCCACCACCCATGCTGTCTTCCCCACCACCCATGCTGTCTTCCCCACCACCCATGCTGCCTTCCCCACCACCCACACTGCCTTACCCACACACACTATCTTCCCCACACCCACACCATCTTCCCCACCAACTACGTTGGAAATAAGTCACTGTCTGAATTTTGGGGTTATCCTCGGTTCTCTACACATGTTGCTATGTATGATAATCTATGTAACTGTATTTGCGTATACCTAAATAAACTTACTTACATGCCGTCTTCCGAACCACCCAATCTGTCTTCCCCACCCACACCATCTTTCCTACCATCCACACTGCCTTCCCCACCACTCACGTTGTCTTCCCCACCACCCACGCTTCCTTCCCTTTTCACTATCAGTATCCAGTATCCTGGGCATTGCTTTCTGTCGCAAACTCCTCAAAACCATGAAATTTATCTTCACAGACACTTCCATCTGTGTTAGAACTATCATTTGGGAAAAGTTCCAAATTCGCCGGGGAGTAAGGTATTCCTTACTTACCGCTAGGCATGGTAAACAAGACGTACTGAATTGGCACTCCTATAATGCACTGCGGCCTCCCAGATTTTTTCATACTGCATACGCTGAGCACACAGACACACTCTCTCACATATAGGCTTACCAGCTTTCTCCCACCAGATCTGAAGCTGCTAGAATTTTGGTGTAGTATTATGGGACCAACACTGGTTTGCAAGCAGTAATACATGTATTACGGGACCGACAGTGAAAGGGTTAATAACCTAACAAAAAGCGGTGGTGTGGATGATCACAAACTCCTGCGCCGGACAACACACTGCACCACTCTTCAAAAGCTTGAACTTACTTAAATACAAAATATACACACTTATTACTGTGCCTACTATATATACAGAACATTAAACTCCAATATCAACCTTCCACTCAAACTTTTCCTAGACAGCTTTAACAGAACACACAGGTATAATACAAGGCACAAAACACTGACATCCCTCGTGTCCATCTCACACTATGCAAAAATGCGATGTACATAAAGAGCCCAAAGATCTGGAACTCTTTGCCTGAAACAACAAGAGGTCCCGTGCCCACAAATCAATTTAGGACTAAACTCAAAAACCATCTCAACTCTCAATAACAACCATTCCCACACTATGCTCAACTCTAACCAAACTTAAAGCAACTCTCCCTAATATTCTATTACCCATTAACTATTAAGCCATTATTACAAACTTAAAAATGTATGTTTGTATCATTAACTGTACAACCTCATATTAATAATAGAGTAAAATACTGAATATTTGTAATCTACCACTCTTCACCTGTTTAGACTTAAGTAGTCTTTAAGTATTAGGTTAAGTCTGCCCGAAATGCCTTGGCATGATAAGTGGTTTTCTTTGTACCAATCAAATTATGATGAAATGCAAATACACATTGCAACCTTATCAGAGAAATAAAATTTTGATTTTGATTAGATATTTTATTCTCAGTAAATATTTGTTGATACTCATCCATTCTCAAATTTTCCCTCCTTTTACATCCCCCTTGCTACTTATTTAATTTATTTTCCTACACATGCCATACTCTACCTGCAGTATATCATTTTAAGACTGCAAAAACTTTTCTTTCTTACCACTCCAAAGTTAAATTGTTCAACATGCTTGACTAATATACTTTATCACATTTGCAAATTTTTAACAAGAAATATATACCAATATTACCATGTCAGGATCATTCCAGTGTCCAGGACCAGCATTAGGAACAATGTCGTCCTGGTTGTCGCCATAATAATCAATGATCCGCTGGACAGATTCCCAAGAATCTTGAATATCATCAAAGTTTCGCCAGAGGTTGCAAGTATTGATAATTGCAGTGTAATTTGGCTGAAATAGTCATAGAACATAGGTTATATATTTTAAAATAGTACTGTATTTTATCCAAGTAAAATCAAATAAATTTTATTCTTTGAATTCAACTAATATTATATGTAAAATTTAGTAAATTATGGGCAAGTCTTCTTACACCCCATGCTCCTGTTTACTGAGTAGTAAACAGGTACCTGGATGTTAGTCGACTGTTGTGAGCTGAATCTTGGGGATAGGAAATGGCACAAATCAGATGTTCTAGAGAATGTCCACCTGTAATATGAAAATGTAAGTTAGCTTCAATCCATTATAATAAGAGTATGTACCTAACAATTGCATAATAACACAAGAGTATGTATTAGACTGATTGGCTTGTCATCCATGGAAGCAGTCATGAAGACAGTGTCCTGACATCAGAATTTTGGCTACATGTACTCTGCTGAACCATTTGGTGCTTCACTACATTTTCTTCACATTCACACAGCATTTTCTATGGATGTTATTTTCCACAAACCCACTGGGAAACAAAACAAGATATAATGAATGCTGTATATTTTGGACTTGCACCAAGGCCCTTTGAGCAGAATGAAGAAGGATTCAACATGTATTTTTAACTTTTTTAACAAACCGGCTGTAACCCACCGAGGCAGGGTGCCCTAAAAAGAAAAACGAAAGTTTCTTTTTTATAAATTTAGTAATATATACAGGAGAAGGGGTTAGTAGCCCATGGCTCCCAGTATTTTAGTCACCTCTTACGACACGCATGGCTTACAGAGGAAGAATTCTGTTCCACTCTTTACAGCATTTAGTAGCTTATTACCTATTCCATATATTTGCAACACCTGCTACATTGCTCCCCTATCCATTTTATCATATGCCTTTTCTAAATCAATAAATGCAATGAAAACTTCCCTTAAACACTTGATCTAGACATCCCCTACCTACTCTAAAGCCTCCATGCTCATCTGCAATCCTACTCTCTGTCTTACCTCCAATTCTTTCAATAATAACCCTACCATGCACTTTACCTGGTATACTCAGTAAACTTATTCCCCCATAATTTTTACTATCTCTTTTGTCCCCTTCCCTTTATATAAAGGAACTATGCATGCTCTCTGCTAATCCCTAGGTACTTTCCCCTCTTTCATACATTTATATTAAACAAAAACACCAACCACTTTAACACTATATCCTCCCCTACTTTTAACATTTGTCATGATCCCATCAGTTCCAGCTGCTTTACCCTCTTTCATTCTTTCACTCTCAGTAATGCCTCGTGCACCTCCCCCACACTCACATCCTGCTCTTCTTCACTCATAAAAGATGTTATACCTCCCTAGCCTATGCATGAAATTACCGCCTCCCTTTCTTTATCGACATTTAAAAGTTACTCAAAATATTCCCGCCATCTACCCAATACTTCCAGTTCCCCATCAACTAATTTCTCTGTTTTTAACTGACAAATCCATGCATTCCCTAGGCTTTCTTAACTTGTTTATCTCACTTTAAAATTTTTTTTTATTATTTTATTATCACACTGGCCGATTCCCACCAAGGCAGGGTGGCCCGAAAAAGAAAAACTTTCACCATCATTCACTCCATCACTGTCTTGCCAGAAGGGTGCTTTACACTACAGTTTTTAAACTGCAACATTAACACATTAGCTAAATTTTTTGACAATGCCTCTCCCACTCTCTTCACCTTTCTTTTACTCTCCATATACAGGAAGGCCCCACTTATACGGCTGGTTAGGTTCCAGGCTACCGCCGTAAAGTGGAAACCGCCATAAAGTGGAACACCCTTTTTTTCCACTTACAAATGCATACAAACACTAGATAACAAGTTTACACTAACATATATTAAGTTAGCAATAGAACCAGGCATCAAAAAACAATAAAAAAGTACAATACACACATAGTGCACTCATTACTTACCTTAAAATATTTATAGTCTTAATCTAGGGTGAGACAAGTAGTATTTATTGTAAGAAATCAAGTGTGGTATGTATGGTAGTCAGCCAGGCTACCATACCAGGCCACCCCACCCACACATACAATTCTATGATATTTAAGCATCCCAGAGCGATAAAATGTATATACAGTTCACTCATTACTTACCTTAAAATATAGGGTGAGATGAGTAGTATTTATTGTAAAAAATCAAGTGTGGTATGTATGGTAGTCAGCCGGGCTACCATACCAGGCCAACCCACCTACACATAATATTCTATTACATTTAAGCATCCCAGAGCGATAAAATGTATATACAGTTCACTCATTACTTACCTTAAAATATTTGTAGTCTTAATGTAGGGTCAGGAGTACGTAAATGAGATAAAACGAATAAATGAGAGAGAGAAAGAATGAGTGCATGAGAGAGGACAGGCGCAGGGTTATGTAAACAAACCAGGCGAAGGTAAGTTTTGTAAACGAAGTGTACACGTCTGGTTTGTGTACAAGTTACATTGTGTACAGGTTGTCTCTACATTGATACGGTAGAATAAATAAAGAAGAACACTCCCATTCTCATGTAACTTCATTTTGAGAAGAAATGATGCTCTGAGTGAAGGCAATGGAAATAAGTCACTCTGACTTTTTAGGGTTATCCTAGGTTCTCTACACATATGTTGTTATGTATGATAATCTATGTAACTGTATTTGTGTATACCTGAATAAACTAACTTACATACATACGAAAGGAATAATTTTCTACAGTTACCCCCAGTAACACATTTTCTCTTATGTTAAATTAGAGAAAATGTTATTCTTGGCATCACTTGTACAAGTTATCTGGCTACCACATCTCATACTTATGTTTATTTATTCTATTGTAGGGTGTATTTATCATCTTTTTATGTTATGTATCATGTTTATTATATAATTCTGAAAAAAATATCATAGATGGATTAATGAAAATGCGTATTTAACGTAATATGTGACATTTAAATGAGACTCGATGATTATTATTATTATTTATCATTACTAATATGACGTCTGGAGACATAAGACACTCTTACTGATTTTAATGTGTACCTGCATGCCATCACAGTATGTAAGTTTATTTAAGTACAGGTATACATAAGTATAATTATCAGAGTATATATAAAATATGAAATAACTTTTAAAAACATTTGAAATTTTGGAGTTTCCAGACAAAATGGAGAGACTTAGTGCTTACTGAGCTCACGAAGAATGTAAACAAACAAGGTGGGGCGCAGTGACCGTATTAGAAAGTCAGGTGGGGGGAGCCGTATAGCAAGTTTTGGTCATAATTTGAAATGACCGTATTAGCGGAACGCCGTAAAGTGAAACGCCGTAAAGCGGGGCCTTCCTGTACTCTACTCTTCTTATAACACTTCTTTGTAAAAATCTCTCATAAGCTACCTTTTTCTCTTTTATCACACCCTTCATACTTCTTCATTCCACCAATCACTCCTCTTTCCTCCTGCACCCACCCTCCTATAACCACAAACTTCTGCCCCACATTCTAATACTGCATTTTTAAAACTATTCCAACCCTCTTCAACCCTCCCACTACTCATACTTGCACCAGCCCACCTTTCTGCCAATAGGTGCTTATATCTCACCCGAACTTCCTCCTCCCTTAGTTTATACACTTTCACCTCCCTCTTACTTCTTGTTGCCATTTTCCTCTTGTCCCATCTACCTCTTGCTCTAACTGTAGCTACAACTAAATAATGATTCGATATATTCGTTGCCCCTATATAAACATGTACATCCTGAAGCCTACCAATCAACCTTTTATCCACCAATACATAATCTAACAAACTACTTTCATTATGTGCTATATCATTCCTTGTATATTTATTTATCCACTTTTTCATAAAATACCTATTACTTATTTCCAAACCTCTTTCTACACAGTTCAATTAAAGGCTCCCCATTTTCATTTACCCCTGGCACCCCAAATTCACCTACTACTCCCTCCACCTTATATAAGAGTAAGAAAAGGAGGTGAGCAAATGGTTTAGATAAAGAAAAACTGGATATTATATTGCAGGGAGGGAATATGGAATAAGTGAATGTTTATAGATATTTGGGAGTCAACTTGTCAGTGGATGGGTTTATGAAGGATGAGGTAAATCATAGAATTAATGAAGGAAAAAACTTGAGTGGTGCATTGTTGAGGTATCTGTGGAGACAAAGAACATTATCCATGGAGGCAAAGAAGGAAATGTACGAAAGTATAGTGGTACCAACACCCTTATATGGGTGTGAAGCATCGGCTGTAAATGCTGCAGCGAGAAAGCGGCTGGAGGCAGTAGAGATCTTCTGTCTAAGGGCAATGTGTGGTGTAAATATTATGCAGAGAATTCGTAGTGTGGAAATTAGGAGGAGGTGTAGAGTTACTAAAAGTATTAATCAAAAGGTTGAAGAGGGGCTGTTGAGGTGGTTTGGTCATTTAGAGATAATGGAACAAAGTAGAATGACTTGCAGAGCATATAAATTCACTGGGGAAGGAAGGCAGGATAGGGTCATCCCTGAAAAGGTTAGAGGGAGGTGGTAAAGGAGATTTTGTGGGTGAGGGGCTTGGACTTCCAGCAAGCGTGCATGAGCGTGTTTGATAGGAGTGAATGGAGACGAGTGGTTTTTGGGACCTGACGAGCTGTAGGAATGTGAGCAGGGTAATATTTTGTGAAGGGATTCAGGGAAACTGGTTATCCATACTTGAGTGCTGGAAATGGGAAGTACAATGCCTGCACTTTAAAGGAAGGGTTTAGGATATTGGCAGTTTGAAGGGATGTCTAAACTGTCATATCTGAGCGCCTCTGCAAAGACAGTGATTATGTATGAGTGATGATGAAAGGGTTGAATGATGAAAATTTTTCTTTTTGGGTTACCCTCCCTCAGTGGGAAGCAGCCGACGTGTTGAAATACTAACACACACACACACACACACACACACACACACACACACACACACACACACACACACATGATGAGGTATCACAGTGGGCACCTGTGACAAGCGGGGTCCCACAGGGGTTGGTCTTAGGA